TTTAAAAGGTGTACCCGTAATGGGGAAAACCTTTAATGATATTTTAGGATTTGCAATGAACTGTAAACTTATTGAATTTCTGAAGCACCATCTGAAAAATTTACAAAATCAATGTGACATTTTGAAAACTCTTTTTCTAGAATAAATGTGAATTTCTGATGTAAAACTTTTGGCCTACTATGTTGGCAGCATTACTATCAGGGGTCAATGATACATATAAGACTATTAGAAAAAAAAATCACAGACAGAGAATGATAGAAAGATGCTTTTGAAATTGAAATCATCATTTTTTTTTATTACGTTTTGTGTTCTGAAATCATTCGGTTTTTGCATCAGATCTTCTCAGTTGTTGCCTACGTCTACTTTCTAAAGTAATCACGAAAAACATTTTTGCAAAAATACTGGCTGAACTGGTTTAACATTCATTAGCCTATATAAAAAGAGATCCAACAACTACCAAATTTTTAATGTTCATACTCGTACCATAATACACAGATGTACTCATATTGGTTTCTCCAAAGCAGCAGTTTGTAGACGGCGATGCAATTTTTATTGAAAACAATGGCAGGAAGTATTAACTATCCTTCTGAAACAACTAATAGCAGGCATAAAATTATTCTCTAACATTTTTACGGAAATATTTTCACACCAGTTAGATCTGCCACATCACTTTTCCAACGCTTATTAGGCCAACCAAGTTGACGTTTTCTGAGAATTACCTAAGATATTTTATTTCTGATGATGATAACGTCATGGCTGAAATACGGTTCACGAAGAGTGTTTCACAATTCAGGTGTGCGTGAAAAAATAGTTTTCCAGAAAAAGTACTATTATTAAATATTTCTTCTGATTCACAAGTTATTCATTATTACAAAATAGTGATTGAGATATTTGATTTGAAAAGTTCCGTTCAACCTTTATGTCCTGATCACAGATCTAAATGTTTACATCAAAGCTGAACAATTTGAAATCGTCGATCAAATATAAACACGTATAAAATTTTATTCATCGGTTTCGTTTTTCGCTTGGGATATTTGAATAAGGATCCTCCTTTTGTTTTCCCTGCAGATGATGAAATTCCATCCGCTTTTCGAGAATCGAAAGGAAAACAGAAAAACGGTCGATTATGAAAATATATTGAGTATCTCACAAAGCGATTGTTGATTTGAAACAAGGGAAATTTTTATTGGAGAAAAAGTTAATACATCAAACAAAGGTTTATCATAACCGAAGAAAGACGAGATCCAGCAGGAGTAATGAATTTCATAAACTACACCTCACGATTTATCTCCACAAATTTGATTTGAAAAATATATCACGACATGTTTCGTTACTGTGTTAGACTACAAGCACACCTTACTGGTAGAATAAATAATAGATCAATTACTTTTTCCGTCCTGTATTAAAACACAAAAAAATGTTTTTTTTGTAGCTGCAAGTCTTGTACTTCTATGAAATGAGTCCCATGAAACGACTATCAAGTCAGTAGAACCTTTGGAAGAGGTTGAAAGATGAGTCCGATACTGAATTCCAGTTTCATAAACCAGGACTATTAGACGGTTTGTGCAGATGCATTGCAATTGATTGAATTTTTTCTAGATCCTCATTCTGTCATGCAAAGCAATACCTGAGCAGTTCCAGCGAAATTATTTTTAATCCGATGTACAAGGATACATTTTTTTAAGATATCTGTGAAACGATCAGTTCCATGTAAAAAGGATATATACTCATTTTTCATCCCATGGATTCAAAAGTGACGCAGGCCTATCAGATCTGGCTAGTGACTCTGAAAATTAATCTAATAATTATAATTCCGGTATTGAGAAACTAGAAATTCGTTCAATTTATCATTTTACGATTATAAAAATATATGAAAGCAAGCGCTATGCATCCATTCATTAAAATATATGCCTATTCATAGCTCATGATTAAATTTCATATAATGAATGAAATTATGTTATGTGATAAATCCACATTACACAGTTATTTACAGTATTTTCAACGTGTGTATATACTTCAATCTATGGGAAAATTAATTAGCCGAGCTGGCTGAGGGCAAAATCAAAGCTCAAATATTGAATCAACAATTTATGGTCCTTCAAAAAATAACGTGGAAATTTGTCAATCGACCGAATGCATGTTAAATGTGTTGAAAAACCTCGAGCAATAAAGCAATCAATTCATCACACCTATTTTACTGTCTGAAAAATTAGTTTTTCATTGACAAAGCATTAAACTATCTAAAGTAATGAAATTTTTATAAAAGTGAATTGATTTATCAGGAGAAAAAGTGATACGAGCCAATATTCTGTTTCTCCGAATAATATACACAATTGTTTTTTTATGATTACTTTTATTACCGGCGTGAATGCTGCCACTTTTAATGTTGCTGGAACTGTAACCATAGTGGTGATGTATTGAAGTTACTAGAAGATGAATGTCAACTTCAGTGACGGAGTATCAATCACAAAAAATAATTTTTGATATTTGAAGAAAAAAAAAAGTCACCAAAAGTGCTTGCACTACAAGAAAGCCCTACCATATAGTTGAAAAATGTACACTGACAGTTTGGAAAAGAATCACGTGGACTCCCATGGGCTTATGACTCGAAATTAATTTAGTATTTCTCAATTTTTGACTGAGTGATTCGTAAAAAAGTGAACAATTAGCGTTTGAAATGGGGCCTTTGTCACTGTTCATAGTTCTCATGCCACACTTTGCTGATTTTAGACTTTCCAGAACATCCAAGAAACCAATGTGATGTACCGACCTCAATAATTTCAGAATTTTCATTCATTCTATCCGAAGATTCTCCTTGAATTTATGTTTCCTTATCAACTTATCTACCATATTTAAATAACACCCGTTGCTTTCACCCATGTTCCTGATAACATGGTACCCGGACCTCATCAAGTATCACCATAGGAGCCTGTGAGTTATCAGGCGACCTTTCAGCATATTTAACCTCACAACCTACATCAGATTGAAGGGGCTTCGGCTGTTTTTACAAGGTTATGTTCGATATTTCTCTCATACAGGAACCCTGGGTCTACAGGGAAAATGGCACGGAATTGGTAGAGATCCGAGATCACCGAGAGATCACCGGAGGCAACCAATGTATGGACAACCCAAATTTTGATATATTATACATCCAGCAAGGTAATGTACAAACTAGTACAGGACTCAAGATTGTTGGGTCATGAAAAATATGGTAGTGAAATACAATAGGCTCATGAAGTTGCAGCGTTTTCCGGAGAAATGGACGGAGAGAAATGGACAAGTCAGGGGGCTCCCAAGCGGTAGGAAAAAAATAACCATCAGTGAGTGAAACCAAACACGAAACCTGGGTTTTCCTATTGTTTATTAATCTAATTATTTGACAATCGTTATTTGCAATTTGCATTCTGAAAATATAAATTTGTGCGACGAAATTACCAAAAAATCTAATAGTCTAATCACGCTAATCGGAAGTCCTCAGAGCAGCTCCGATTTTTTTAAGATTTTGTTTCTTTATATTATTTGAAATCAGAATCCATTTGAACAATGTATATATA